GTTTATGTCGCTACATCTGTCAGTAAAGCATCAAAGCTGAATCTTTATCCGTCTGGTAGCTGTCGTTTTGAAATCTCCGAAACGTGGGTTGAAGGAGCGGCGGAGATGAAAGAGAACTATATTAGCCGTAAACTCATCCGTCAGCGTCAAAACGTCAAAGACTTGCCATTGGGGTATTAACGGCGCCATAACTTCGCAGAAACGGAGCAAGAGGGAAGGGAGAGGGAGAGAGATAAACGGGAAAAACAAAGACGGATATACAATGGAAGTAGAACTCCCAGAGACCTTTATTTCTTCTGGGAAATATTACAAGATAGAAAGATTTAATATCACCTCGTCCCCGAACTGTTGATTGAAAATGGAAATTCAACGGGAACGATCATCCTTATCGCAAATCATCGTTACGATTGCCAGTATATATTGTAAATTTATTTTAAAAAACTTGGAATTATCATCGTATAAATGATTCGAGCTTCGGATAAAGTTATTTTTTTAGTTCAATTTAAAATTTAAATCGTATCTAGAATTTTTGCGATGGAAAAAAATAATCGCACTTTATCGCGTTCCTCGTCCACGCACGAAACGTTGCGAATTGAAATCGAAACGACAACAACAACGACACGACTCTATATTCGCTCCGCTGTTATATTATAGTATATAGTTTGCATTCCAAACGCAAAATACGTCCTCTACTCCAGGAGGCTAACTTTATCGGTTACCGCGAATACGCAGTCTACGCGGTGATAATTCGTCGTAATTACCTTGTAACATAACCACTCGACCGATCGCTTTATCTTATTTAAAATCGTATCGCGTGAAACGGTGTCACAATCTTGCAACCGCGTGGAACGGGTTATATAGCTGGTATATTTTATAAATCGGGTCACGATCGACTTGTGGTCGTTTCGTTTCGCGTGAGTTTCGAGAGAGAGAGAGAGAGAGAGAGAGAGAGAGGGAGAGGGAGGGAATGAAACGAAACGAAAATTGGAAAGTTATCGACGAAGATAGACGCGGGATCGGTCGTTGGACGAAAGTCGAAACGGATCGGATTCGGTATACGGTGGATGAGCGTACGCGACAAACTCGAGGCGCGGTCGGGGCGATAATTAAAACGCTTTTACAAAACTGTAGGCAAACAGCGCTTAAGTGGCTGTCATTCGTTACCCCGTGGGCTGTGGCAAGTCGGTAAGTCGCTGAGCGAGCAATCAATCACCCGACATTCCCTTCCCCACCGACCCATTACATTTCTATTTTGAAAGCTGCTTATTAAGCGGGGCCGGTCGGAGAGACAGACAGGTTTCACGGTATAAAATATCGGGTTGCTGTGGTGGCAGGGACGAGGTTCCGTGTCGAGGTAGCTATGGCAGGCTGCGGGGTAGGGGCGCGCGGGGCGTG